CGTCTGCCAACACCGCTGCTGGGGTCATTCTGAGCACTTGCTTAATTGGTTCTTTGTCAGGCCACGGCATTGCCTGTTTGCAATTGTTCTGTCTCTGACCCCTGTCACAAAATGGTACCTTCCCGTCGTCAGCACAGCCAGGGTCCTTGAATCAATCCATTCACTTGTGTCCTTGTGACATTTGTTATAACTCAGCACCGCCAGTGTGCACATGTGGGCCAGCTCCAGAGTCATGAAGTTAGCGCTGTCGAGTCCGCTGTGGGGACAGCGTACCCTGGGAGCACTGGGGCGCTGAGGACTCCCTGTTAGATGTCAGCTCATTGTGTGGCTGCTTATCTAACGCGAGTGGCTCCGTCATGCTCTTTGAGGAAGGTGCCACAGGACGCACGGTGCCGGAGAGATCGTGGAGCCTCGAGCTGACCAGAGTCGGGAGCGTAAGCCCGGATTCCAGCTGGGGTACGCGAGGCACGTTGCTTGTAGACACAGAAGCAGGCGGCAGAGCGTTCTCTTCAGGGAGAGGGTGACGTCCGCCCAGGGCGGCCTCGGTCGGCCTACGGGGCAGCGGTGCGTGTGCCGGGCCTTCCGTCCGTGCCCACTGTTTTCAGGGACCCACAGCACAAGCATTTGCGCCATATACACAGCTTTTTGTCTCTGGGTTTTTAGTGTCAGAGTTTGTGCATGTATTTCACTTCAGAACCTATCGGTCAAAGCTGTTTGTACGGATATTAAAATTGCTTTGTATTAACATTTGTGCACAAGGCTTAAGAGTCTTTCTGTGATTATCTTTGTAAGTGGAGTTTTATGAAGCTTTGCGTAATTCAGTTTGTGAAGCAAGTCCCTGGGAGTTCTGGTTACCGTGCGAGCTTAAATGCACCTGCGTGCCCTTCTTCTTCCGGTTAGGGGCCAACATCTTCCTCACCTCATCTGGACTCATCAAGCTCGGGGATTTTGGATGCTCCGTAAAGCTTAAAAACAATGCACAGACCATGCCGGGCGAAGTGAATAGCACCCTGGGGACTGCAGGTAGGGACTGGCCCGATTGGGCTTTTCGAAGGCGGCTCATTACGGTGCGCTTGCCATCTGGGCTTTCCATCACCCCTATTGTCAGCTCGACCCGGGAACAGGGAGGAGGGTTTCTAAACACCTTTCCCCCATAGTGAGAGGCAGGAGGAAAGTTCTCCTTCTCTTCCCCGGAACACTATCGTTTGTTGTTCACATGGGGGATGTTTAAATGATTCCAGCCCAAACTCAGCCGTATGTATATTAAACACGATGGTATGGGCTGGTTTGTTTTTTTCTTTTCGAACATAACCTCTTGATTGTCCAGCACCTGTGACCGTTTCATGTCTGTCTAAAGCAGACAGGCAGTTTGGAGCATTATCGGCCCTTCTAAAGGAAAAGGAGTGGGTAGGCACACCCAAGAGAAAGTGAATGTCTTCACACACGGGCACGTGCTACCCACACAGCCACGCCCACACCTGGCCTGCTCCTCACCATGGTCCACTCTTTTGTCCCCTTTAAGAGGGACATGCAGAAAGGGTAATTAATTTGTTTCGACTGTTCAGTGGCATAAAGCTTTTCATCCTCTTTTGTAGTGCAGGTTTCACATTTTTAATGTGAATACAGTTTATCTGAAGATTTGCCATTCAAAAATCGTCCTTTAGATAGTAATTCAGCCTCTTGAAATGTTCACTCAGAAAACTGATTCGAGATGTCTATTGCTTTTGATGTTTCCTATTACATAACTCAGAGAAAGATCTCCCTGCCTGCCCCCAGCAAATTAGTTGTTTCTTTTATGTGGAATATTAGACAATATTAATTTCATGGTTGGCTTGATTACTGTGTGCTACTGTGTTTATAACCTATTCCTTTCCCCGTATCTGTGATTTTTAAAGCATACATGGCTCCAGAAGTCATCACTCGCGCAAAAGGAGAAGGCCACGGGCGTGCTGCTGACATCTGGAGTCTGGGGTGCGTCGTCATAGAGATGGTGACTGGCAAGGTAAGCGGGGTGCACACCTGGGGGCAAACCCCCGGGGGGCTCTGTACCCTGACAAGACTGGATGTGTGCTTGTATCATTTATTATCAATACCACGGACATATCTGCTAACTAGAGACCATGACTAAAGATTAAAAAATGTGACCTGTCGGGGCACCTGGGTAGCTCAGTCGGTTAAGTCTCCGACTTCGGCTGAGGTCATGATCCCGTGGTTCATGGGTTTGAGCCCCGCATCGGGCCCTGCGCTGACAGCTCAGAGCCTGGAGCCTGCTTCAGATTCTGTGTCTCCTTCTCTCTCTACCCCTCCCCCACTTGTGCTCTGTCTCTCTCTCAAAAATAAACATTTAAAAAAAAATAAAAAATGTGACCTGTCAAAAGATACAGTACTGTGAAGACGAGTGACAGACTAGGAACCAGATATTTATAAGATTTATAACTTTGAGCACTCTTACGAGGGAATAAAAAAAGTATGAAGCTGAAGTTAAAACACTGAGAAGCGAGGAGCTACAGAAAGAAACAGGAAGCCAGAAACTTAGGTCCACTCGACAACTGGCATGTGAGGGCAACTTTATTCATAATTTGCCAGACTTGGAAGCAGCAACCAGGGTGTCTTTCAGTAAGTGAGTGGATGAGCAAACTGGAAATGCGGACAACGGAATATTACGCAGCAACGAAAAGAGATGAGCTGTCAGAAGACGACTTGGTGGAACCGTGAAAAGCATGCGACCACGTGAAAGAAGCTAATCTGAAAACACCACATATGTATAGTGTGATTCCAGCACGTGACATTCCAGGAGAGGCAAAACCGTAGAGGCAGTAGAAGGATCAGTTGTTGCCAAGGGCTGTGGGAAAGGGAAGGAAGGGGGAATAGATCGAGCACAAGGATTTTTAGGGCAATGAGGCTGTTCTGTAGGACTGAGTATCTGCAAAGTCTAAAAACTTATCTTTTGGGGGGCGCCTGGGTGTCTCAGTTGGTTAAGCATCTGACTTCGGCTCAGGTCATGATCTCATAGTACGTGAGTTGAGCCCCGCATCGGGCTCTGTGCTGACAGCTCAGAGTCGAGTCCACTTTGGATCCTCTGTCCTCCTCTCCCTGCGCCTCCCCCACCTCACATATTCTCTCACTGTCTTTCAAAGATAAATGAGCACTAAAAAAAGTTAAAAAAATTATTATTATTAAAAAAATTTAGTTTTTGATGAAAATACTATTAAACGAGGCAAATGTATAAAGGTACCATTGTGTGTGTGTGCGCGCGCGCGCACATGCAGCAGCATCATTTTTGTAAAGCAGAAGATGTTACAAACCTCTCGTGCTATTAGTAGGAAACTGTATTATACCTTGCGGCCTCTGAATGAAATAGCATTTTATTGTTATGTTTTATGATATATAAAATAACCAGAGCTTCGCACTAATAGAATTTCATGTTCACTATTCAATAAGGTAGTGTAGTAATTCCCTATAAGATAACTGTTGAGTTTTATATGTTTTCTTGACATGTTTACATCATTTTATGTGTTACATTTTTTATTGTATGATGTGGCTTCTAGGTAATGCTGGGCTAACATTAGTCCAGGAGAGTACTCCAGGAGAGTACAGACAGGGTTAGAACATCCACACGGGGTCGGCAGCCTACGCTGACCACCTGGTTTTGTAAATAAGGTTTTATTGGCATTCAGTCACACCCATTCATTTATACACCTTCCTTGGCTGCTGTCACCCTGCAGTGGGAGAACTGAGGAGTTGTGGTAGAGGTCACGTGGTCCGCAAGCCTAAAATATTTACCGTTTGGCTCTGTAGCTAAAAGTTCGCCGGCCTCTGACATGTATTAATATTGAGGTGCCTGAAAAGACTTGAAAGTTTCATTTTTTTTTTTAAGGCCATGTAGTATTAAAACCTGTTTTTTCCCTCTTTTAGAGGCCTTGGCATGAATATGAACACAACTTCCAGATTATGTATAAAGTGGGCATGGGGCACAAGCCACCGATCCCTGAAAGACTAAGCCCAGAAGGAAAGGACTTCCTTTCTCACTGCCTTGAAAGTGAGCCCCGGATGAGGTGGACGGCCAGCCAGCTCCTCGACCACGCCTTCGTCAAGGTTGGGCAGATCGCTGAACAGTGTTTTTCATGTTTCAGTGTTTGAGTTCTGCTTATGTCTGGCACTGAAGGAATTTGGGAACTTAGATATAAAATCCCTATATCTGGAATGGAAAGGAGGTCAACGTATTATGCCAAGGGGTTTTGTATGTTATTTTGGGGAGATACGTGTTCATTGAGGTCCTCTGCTTGATCCATCCGGGTGTGTTTGCAGTGCACTTGAGGCTGTTACGTGGAATTTTTAATGGAACTGGCCGAACGACCCTGTTTCTACTCTGGAGAGTGCATAGGCTGCTTGAGTACAGGGTTAGTAATGACTAAATTCTAGGAGGTAGAGATGGAGTTAGTAATGACTACATTCCAGGAGAGTAGAGACCGGGTTAGTAATGACTCAAATCTGCTAGGAGAGTAGAGACGGGGTTAGTAATGACTGAGTTCTACTAGGAGAGTAGGAATGGGGTTAGTAATGACTATGACTAAATTCTAGGACAGTACAGACAGGGTTAGTAATGACTCAAATCTAGGAGAGTAGAGACAGGGTTAGTAATGACCGAGTTCTACCAGGAGAGAGTAGAGGCAGGGTTAGTAATGACTAAATTCTGGGAGAGTAGAGACAGAGTTAGTAATGACTGAGCAGTCAGTATGTTCAGAGCCGGGATAATGGTACGCATGCTATGTTGTGGGGTCACTGAGAAGAGCAGTTTAATCCAGCTAGGTAATCTCAGGTATTGCTTGCTCTGGAATGAGATGCCTGAGCTGTGTGGGAGGGTTTGGAGGGGTTAGGCAGGGAGGGAGGGGTATGGCAGGGTGAAGAGGGTAAAACAGTCAAGGAACTGTGTGTGCAGATGGATCCTAGGATGTGGAAACTGGTAAAAGGTAAGGCTGGAAAAGTAAGCAGGCGCCACATGAAGGAATTTCAGTTTTATTATAAGCATAATATTAAATAGTGCTTTGGAATGATCCTTCTGGCAACAGAATAGTGAGGAAGTTGGGTACAGCTAATAGGCTGGGCATGGGGGGTCAGGGGCGAATTATCAGCAATACTTAGGGGTTAAAATGGCCACCACCAAGTAGCTGATGAGCTGAGAAAGGCGAGTGAGGGTGGGGTCCAGGACGGCTTCCAGGTCCCGGCTTGGGTCACCAGGTTAGAGACCCCGTTGGCCAAGAGGGGTACAGAGGCAGCTGGTGGGGTGCTGAGTCATGGAGGTGGCGGTTCTGTCTGTGGCAGATCACAGTCGAGGCGCGTTTGGAACATCTGCTCAGGGACTTCAGATGGGCACGTAGGTGTTGCAGGCCCGCGCCCGGGAGAGAGTGGGGCCCAGATGCAGACCTGGGAGACAGAACGTTGAAATACTCCCAGAGAGTATTTCAGGGAGAAGTGGGGTGCCCGTGAAACCCTGGGGAAAACAACACTGGAAGGGCCTTGCAGGGGAGCCCCCGATAGAGGAAAGGACGATGCGGAAGAGAGGAGTGACCACGTTCATGGGTGGGTGGAATTAGGGAACAGACAGCTGGATTTGCTATGTAGATATTAAGGATCTGTGATTAAAAAGACACTAATTTCTTTGTTATAAAGCATACAGACAGACTCTTACCGCTTTCAGTGGTCAGGTGACAGAGCAGTGACTTAGCTCTGACCTTATTCGCCGCACCAGCCGAGCCTCCCCCCGCCGTCTCAGCGCTGGGAACGTGGAGGCGGCGGCAGTGACTCACCGTGAGTTGTGCGCGGACCGTGAATCGTGTTCAGCTCTCTCCTGCCTCCCTCACAGGTTTGCACAGATGAAGAATGAAGCCAGTTGGTCTGCGGCCTGGTGGTGTGTGTGCTCGGAGAATCCTCTCTCTCAATCACTACTGTATGTAATATTTACATAGAGACTGTGCCGAGAAGCAGTGTAAGCCTTTCTAACCTTCCAAGACTGAGGACTGCACAGGCGACAAGCGTCACTCGTCCTGCTGCTCCTGTTTGTCCGATGTGGCGCGGGGCCCTTCCGCGTGACGGTGTCCACGAGGTAAAGAAGCTGCATGTTAAGTGCCATTACTACTGTACACGGACCATCGCCTCTGTCACCTGTTTCTCGTGTGACTGAGGACCGTGACGTCAGTGTAGTATTTTTGACCTTCCCGGGTTCAAAAGCAGTTGTAGTGTTATCGGTGTCCTGGGCCTTGTTGTTAAACTTCTTGTTTGTCGAGTGCACTGACTGTGAAACCTTACCTTTTTGTCGTTGGCAAGCCACAGGCTTGTTACGCAAAGGTGATTGATGAAATTTCAGAAAAAGGTTCTTTTTTCAATAAATGGTTTATTTTAGGAAAGTTCAGTCATACTGTCTCTTAATGGTTGCCAGCTTCAGGGCCTAGACGTTACCTGAGACAGAGGTCTGTTGCTCTCGCTCGTGTGTTCCCGTACCAAAGGGGTGCAGCCAGGCGCACTAGAGACGGGCACCGTCCTTCAGGACCTAAGACCTCCTGGCTTTTCGTGAAGAGTGAAGCAGATAAAGGAAGCACCCACTCGGGATGCAAGAGGGCCCCTTTAAATTCTCCCACGTCACCCGGGCAGTGTGGGAGGGTGAAAGGGTAAGCCTCGTTACCGCACGCTGGATGGAGGCCATCGATGTGTACCCCGGGACGGAGAGGTGACGGGTGAGTGGTAGGCACCGCCGAATGAGCTCTTGAGGAGAAAGCATCTTTGTCAGAAGGTGACCTTCCAGCAGTTAGTTCTCTAAACTAGCCCAAAGTATATGTCATTGATGGTATTCTTTCGTTTCTTTTTTGCGATTAAGTTTTTAAAAGATTGAGCTTAAAGCTTCCTGAGATCTTTTCAGAAGCTGACACCGAACGGCTGGCTCTGGGAGACTCATTTCTCCGGCACGTTGTGTGTTCACCTTCCCTCCTGGGCGGCAGTCCCCTTCAAGAGATGAATGTCCAGAGAACGTTGGCATCGCAGCAGGATTATACAGACACTTAGATTTTTAAAAAACATTTCAGCTCTTTCAAACAGCTCTTAGAGGTAGAATTCACCTAATCTTGGACGGATACCGTTAGGTGACTCTCCGTAATGAGTTGTACGTCTGTACAGCCGGCCGTCTTCACAGTCTGTCTCAGAACACCCCTCCACGGAGAAGCCTCGTATCCGCTTGGGTCCCCCTTCCCTAGCCGTAGGTGACCACTCAGCCACCTCTTCTGACAGCTCGCCCTTTCCGGGCATGCCATTCAGACGAATTTGACTGTACGTGGTCTTTTGCGTCCGGCCTCCCTCACTGAGCTTGGTACTTCGGAGGCTTATCCGGGCCCTTGCACGCACCGGGACTTTCTTCCTCTGCGGTGCCGAGCGCTCCAGTGAGTGCAGATGCTGCACACGCGACTTCTTCACCGACGGGCTCCATGCTTTGCTTATTCGGGGGGAACGCTGCTCTGAACATTCACACGCACGTGTTCGCGCGGACAGACGTTTTCATCTCTCTCGGCAGTGGTACTTCTGGGCCACGTGGCGAATCCACGCACGTTCGGTATTTTAAGAACGTGCCAAACTGTTCCCACAGTGGCCACACATCCTGCGCTCCCACCGGCCACGTGCGAGGGTTCTGGCTCCTCCATAACCTCCATGGGACTTGTCGTTCTGATCGCGTCCACTCCGTGGGAAACGCTGGCTCACTGGGGGCTTGGTCCGCATTTCACTGAGGAGGGTGAACATTTTTTCTCCTGCATGTTGGCCATTTGCATCTTCTTTGGTGACATGTCTGTTCAGGTCCTTTGCCCATCTTTTAATTGGGGTATTTGTTGTCGTCTGATTGAATCATGAGAGGTTTTTATATATTTTTGATACAAGCCCTTTACCAGGGATATGATTTACAGTCGTTTTTTTTCCCCCGTCTGTCTTTTCTCTTAATGGTGTCTTTTGAAATCTGGCTCATTAACTTGTTCTTTATTGCATGCTCTCTTGATATCCTATCTAAGAAATCATTACCGGGCCCAAGGTCATGAAGATTTACACTTAGGTTTTCTTCAAAGAGTTTTCATAGTTTCTGCTCTTACCGTTTAGGCTCACCGTCAGTTTGTAGGTAATTGTCATGTGTGACGTCGGTAGGGTTCACCGTGCACTTCAAGTGACTCGTTCCCTAACTTCCACTGTGGACGAGACAGAGAAGTGGAGGAGGAGCTGCCCCACCCACCGCCACCCCTGTCCTGGAGCCTCGGCCTTTCTGCCTCAGATGCGCACCGCTCATGCTAGGCGCTGCCCCATGTGGACAGGGGGTGGGGTCCTGTGGTTTTGCGATGTTATTTTGCATAAACTTTAGAAGTCTGAGCCACCCTGCACAGGTGGATCACCTTTGTTAATTCTCTCCACTGCCTCCTTCCTCATCGTTTGCAAACATCCAGATGGAAATGGCTCTGGGCTGCACTGGTAACTCCTGATTTCCTAAAGTGCTTGGGAGGGATCCCGCTAGAGACTACAGAGCAAGAAAAAGTGTGATTTGTGTGGTGTAATGCAGTTTTGAAGTCCAAAGGGATTATTATTCCAGAATCCTAACTTTGTATTCTTGCTGCTTACCTCCTTAAATTTCAACAGAACAGAGATGCCAGAAATGTCAAAAATACCCAGTTTCTCCAACATGCAAAACAAGACTTTCCTTTCATATGAAAGCAAAATGTTAAAGGTAAAAACTGTATGAGTCTTATTCAGTGGGAAGCTTTACTAACATGGTCGTAGGAGTATTTTCTAGATACTGAAAAGATCTAAGTAGGTGCTTGATAAGTGCTTGTCAGACCATTCAGAACCTTAATATCAAAGCAGGACAAGGCTGCAGGGGCTGAGGAATGCCTCGTTTCGAGCTGCTTATCCTTCACTGGAGAAAGCTTTGCTTTTTTTCACCACCAACTCTGCTTCAACATACCGTGTATAACGTCCTGGATTTAATTTTGGCCCGTTTGCATTTAAGAAAGGCTCTTACTTTTACTTCAGGAAAGGGAATCAAAAGAAGACCATGGAAGGTCACTTACTAAAGCGTCTTGAGTCAGTACCCCCTTCATCTCACCAGCCTTCCTTGAGTGCCCGGTGCCCCGGCCCTGCCCTGGAGGGCTGATGCTCTCAGGAGACATGCGCTAACCAATTAGGTCAAGTTTCCCGTACTCTGTGTCTGACACCTTAGCAGTTGGTGACAGGTGCTGGGAATGGTACAGGATGTCATGGGTCTAGAGAAACCTGAGTCCGTGAGTCCCCTACCCTCCTCTGAAGTTGTAGGGCGGTGCTTGGCGGCACCGTTGCCTTAGGACTGAAAGCCTCGAAGCCTCTGGAGTGGTTGGTTTTCGTTTACCCTTGTGGAAACTCTGGAAATAATTCAAAACCCAAGCCAGGGGTGCGGGAGCGCGTTGCAGATTGTGGTGTGCGTTCTTTCGTGGCTGACGCGTCAGGCTCCCATGCGCTCGGGGCGCTCGGTGCCGGTGCCGAGGGAGCCTCACATGGGCCCTTGTGGGGGGGGGGGCGGGGAGGGAGGGCAGGGGGGGCTGGCCTTGAGAAGGGACTTGCCCTTCCGTCTGGCATGTCGATCAAGGAAGTGAGCTTCATTCAATCCTGGCAAAAAATTAAAAAATGGTTTTAAAAATGGTTTTTAATTAAATATCTAGGGATACTTTTAGGAAATCCTCCTCCTCCGACGCAACCAATTCTTTATCTGCGCAGCCACAGTGTCCTCGTAGAGGCGGGGAAGAAGCCACAAATGAGGGAGTTTCAGCAGCTGGCGTGACATTCCCACGCGATTCCTTGGCAAAGGCAGCAAATAACCGTGAGTCTGGCCCTGGGGGAGGGGCCGCGCCCCCGTCCAGGGCATCCAACCCCACGTCATTCGTTTTAAGAGCCACTGAGCTGGCTTCCCAGTTTGCACACGCAGCAGCTCCCGGCCGTGTGGACGCACAGGAAGCCCGCGCACGCGTGTCACGGAGCTGCGTCCACCGGGGAGCCGCCTCTCGTCCCCGCCCTGGCAGCGCTAGGCGTTAGGACCCGTTTTGTCGGAGGAAGAGCATTTACAAGGAGAACCGGGGCCGGGAACGCGAGCAGCCCTGCGGGGTCACAGGTGGGGCGGTTCCCTCGCACCATCGCTGCCGCCCCGAACACCGTCCTCCGTCCGCCGCAAGCCCCGCGCCAGAGCCACTTCCGCGGAGGCTGCAAGACCCGCCCGCTGAAGGAGGGCGGACACCGGGTTCCCCGGGGAACCCGGCGCACGGTGGCCCGGGGGCTGACACCGCGGGCGCCCTGCCCGGAAGCTCCGGGAAGGGCGGGATGGTTCGCGGCCAGTGCGGACGCGGCCGGCAGCCCGGGCCCCTCTCGCTCCTGCGGTCTTGTCAACACAGACGGCAGGTGGTGCGGCCCCGACGCTCCTCCAGTGGCCGCGCTGGAAACCGGCTGCCCCCGGAGCATTTGTCCTCACCCGGGCCTAGCAAGTCGGTGACGAGTCTGAACAGTGCCTCGGGGCAAGCTGGGTTGGTTAAACCGCGTTTTGAGCAGAGAACGGGTACCCTTTGGTCATTTTTGTCCATATTTAGGAGTAAGTGCTACATTCTCTGCAAAGCCGAAAACGTTTCGCATGGGGACCAGCCAGGCCGCTATTCCATTCTACTGGGAGAGAAACCGGAAGCTGCCAGGGCCCCTTTTGGTGACGTCACATCATGGCTTTCTGCGTCATGGCTGCATGATTAGCATTGGATTTTACTGCTAAGTCACTGTGTTTCAGATCCACTTTTACGGATATGTTGGGAAAATATTAATGTTTCTAATTTTTAAACACCAGTGGCTACTAGTTTTACAAGGTTTTGCATGCACTCATTTAGAGAATACAGCAAGTCAAGAGATCCTCCGGTACTACTGTGTGATCCTATGAAAAGGGTTGTGGTCTCTCTAAAAAATAAGCAAGATGATAGACTCACAGAGCGCATGAGTTCCTCCTCCACGGTTACTCCTGGTCCTTTAGCAGGCCCAGAATCTGTCCACTGCCCCTGGCTGCAAGCTGCATTTTGGACGGCTGGGGATTTTGGTAAAGAAAGTCACTCTGTGGAGTTGGTTTCCTAGAAGAAGTGCATCAAACTCCCTGCCTCAAAGCTGCAGGAAGCCCGGGGTGTGGCTGTCCAGAGTGCAGGAAAACGGTGTTTTCCTCTGGATCCCGGTGCTGGCTCTGAGCAGGGCTGACCCGAGCTACAGTCGGATGAAAATGTCAGCACGTGAAGCTCTTCATCCGGGGCACGCCACCAGGGAGCACTACAGGGGGCTTAAACCCCGTGGGGTCTTAATTCGGGGACAAATCTACATCCTGGGAGCTAGAACGGCTCCTTGCTGAAGAGATTCTGTTGTCTGTGAGACCGGCGCACAGGTTAAGGGGCCCAGGGATGGGTCTTTCCAAGGTTCTGTGCTCGTCTCTGCCATTACAGCAGCAGGGTAGGAGGAAAACCAGATCCCTGTGCCTCCTGACAAAATGCTTCTTCGTGGGAGGGCAGACAGTCGAAGGGAGGACAGGCTCTGTCCCCAGCACCCCGCTTTCTCTCGCCGCCTAAGGCAATTCTGAGAAGTTGCGCTGACGAGTCCTTTCCCAGGAGCGCATTCTGCCTGCCCTCCTCCGACCCGGACCCACGGCACGGGTGCACAGCCTGCATCTGTCTGCTTGTCAGATCCTGTGTTTGGTCCCAGAACCAATTCAGAAAAAAAAAAAAATGTCTCAGGGCCCCTTTTATGTTCTGGAGTGAAGGCAGGGTATATATTAGAACTTAATCACCACTGTATTGAATGGGGGGGGGTGACAGGAAAGTGACACGTTTTTGGACACCTCAGGGTGGTTTCTGAGCAATTTGGGAAGTCGTGAGGTGGAGGGCAGCTTTCTTATCTCTCATCCCTCATTTGTTTAGTGCTTTAGGATTCTTACAGTGTGTTTACCCTTGAAACAGCCCAAGAGGTAGGTGTTATCACCTTCGTTTTACCAACGGGGAAGCTGGGACTCGTGGCAAAATGACTGGCCCGAGGTCTCGGAGCGAGTTAGCGGCAGAGTGCTGTGAGGGCGGACCACACAGCTCAGGGATGACGGACTCTGACCGCTTTACTCTGGTCCCCTGCAGAGCACGGAGTCCCCAGCGGAGAGCGGCCCCCACATCCAGGTGCAGGTTGACACGTGGGAACACGTATACAGACCCGTAAGCCGCTCCAGGGGCCTGCGGGGGACCTGCCCACACCTCTCTATTCTTCTTGCTTTGTGGAAACCGTGCGTCTGAAGCCAGCACGTGGCCTTACGCAGGGCGAGCACACGCGTGGGGCACGTCCACCCTGCTCTCAGGCCTGGGCCTCACCGGAACGCCCGTCCCACAGCCAGAGTTTGTTCGTCTTCTCCCTTCTGCAGCTTATGTCCGCGATACGTTACTGTCCCTCGAGCAGAGAGAGCTTCTGTAGAGATGACGCCTTTCAGTACTATTTGCCCAGCTTCTTCTGGGAGCACAGAATAGACCTCTGTCCTGAGCAGCGTGTCGCTGAGCACAGAAAGGCTTCTCCCGCTTAACTCTTTGCGCTTGGAAATACCGTCGGTCCAAGTGCCGTCGCGTCTTGACCCGAGAGGACACAGTGGCCGGTACCTACGTGTTCTCCACCAGAAGCGTCACTGCCTCTCTTTCGTGTTTTGCGTTAGCCTGTGGGGCCTGGAGGCGGCTTGCAGAAGCCCTGCGTGTGCCCGTCACTCCCAAGAACACCTTCCATGCCCAGGAGCAGCCCTCGTTTGTGGTGTGAGTCTGGGCTTCTGGGAAAGACGTAGAAGCCCAGGGGGTGCTTGTACCCCGTGTCTGCTCCAGCCTGACCCTGCTCAGAGGAGTCCCGTGGCCCCTGCATGGTGTTTGCACCAAAGGAGCCTGTCCTCGTTTGAGGGACCCCGTTTCTACCGGCTACTGAGGTGGGCAGTGGACGTAAAGTCATTTCTCAAATCACTGCAGACCGCAATGCTTACGATTTTTCCATTCGGTTTCCTCAGGGAACCGGCCACATCTTCAAGGCTTGGGCCAGGGAGACTCCGAAAACCGGACCTCACTGGGCCTGGCGCTGTGTCCGACAGCCGCGCTCAGCCCGCCCCCGGCACCGCCACACCCCTTGAGCACGCGCTCCGGGCTCCTGCCCCTGCGCCTCCTGCCGGGAGGGCCCCTTCCGGCTGCCCCTGGCGTGCGGAGTCCCGCCTGTCCCTCCCGGCAGTGCTGCGGGGTCACTGCCACCTGGACACCAGGGCCACGGCAGGGAGCTGGGTGGAAGCGCACGGCGGCCTGTGTAAACACGTACCACAGAGAGCCAAACACTTTAATTGGTTTGTTTTTTTTGGAGGCATAATTTAGTCATCTTACCTAAAGCGCCTTTCACTCTCTCGCGATCCAGTACAGAAAACTCAGCACCAAAGAATGAAGGGGAACCCCTCCGTTCCCCATCCCTGCCCTCCCCCTGTGCCTCAGATTCCCCCCCGAATGATCACAAAATAAGGCTTACACTCAACCGCACACCATTCTTACTCATATGTGTTCTTTCTCTTACACTCACACACACACACACGAAAAGAAAACCAAAACCCACTAAAGCGTGATGGGGGAAAAAAGATTTAAGAACATCTTCCTCCCCATCTGGCATCGAGACCAGACTCCCTGGCTTCCCAGCAGGGGCTCACCCCGCTTCGTCCCTGGGTCCCACTAAGGATGACAGCGTCCACCAGTCCCCAAGGTCCCCTCTGGGTGCTGATGTGTCCGGGGTCAGTCGTTCCGTTTCTGCTTGCTGTCGATGTTGCCGTAGGCAGAGCCCTTGTCGATTTCTGTCACCCCAATCATCCATCGGACTCCCATGGAGGCTGCGGAGATGGGAAGGCAGGGACTTAGGAGGAACCTTTGAGGGAGATGCCGACGGGAAAGCCATCTGCAAGGCTGCAGCATGAGCTGAGGGGCTAACCTGGGCCCGTTGCGTCCTCCTGCTGCACGGTTACCCTTGAGCACGAGCGTCAGGATAGACTAAGTGACACTAAAACAGAGCAAGGCTGTTCTGCTGGGGGGTTTTATGCTCCTTCGACCCTTCGAACTGCGTGAGCCATGCTCCACTATACGCAGAGGCTTATGGAATTCCTCTGCTTCCCGTGGGGCCCCCGAGGCAGAGAGGATTCCCTCGCGAATGCAGGGCAGGTGCTTACTAAGGCCCCTCAGCGAAGCCTGATAGCCCCCCCAGGAGCCTGGAGATTGCTAGGGCTCAAGTATCTGTTCGGTGCCCGGCACTGCTGTTGGTATAACTATAGAGCAGAGAACAAGGAAAGTCTGCAGAAAGCCTTTTCTCCAAGTGAGGTTTGGCCCAGAGAACGGGAGGGACCCTCGTGAGAACCCAGCTGAGCCACCAGGAAGCTGGGAAACAAGGCCAAGTTCAGATGCTGTAGTTAAAGCTACTCCCTCCGAGAGGGCAGACTCGGTGAGCTCGCTCAGGGCAGGGAGCTCGTCTTAATCACCCTGATGAGCCCAGCACCAAACACCCCAGGCCCGGCAGACTGTGTCGCACACGTTTCAGAATGGATAAATGGGTGACAGCTGAAATCTCCGTGACGCACGTGTTTAAAAGCGCGAGCAGCGTGGCCAGTGAACCATCCATCGGTCAGGCACCCGTGGAGGAGCTGACTGGCGTGCCTGAGCACAGCCCGGCCCGATGGGGCCCGTGTATCCCACGGGCCAGTTACAAACCAGCCGGGCTTCAGCCTGGGCCAGTTCTAAGGAGGACCCGTCCCAGTGGCCGAACCACCGTGCGGTGGCTGTGATGAGAGCGTAGAGAGTAAAGAGGTGCATAAAACATCAGCCCCATTGCCCAAAGGCCGTAAAAGGGGAACAAGACACACGGCAATCCAAGACAGAGTGCAGGGAGGCTGGGGCTCGCAGCTGATGAGGCGTAGGGGCAGGGGGCACAGGGCAGTCTGCTCCTCCAGAGCTCCTGGGGACCCCATCTCCTCGGGGAGAGAGTTCAGCCCGTTTTTGGCTCTCACCACACACCTTCATCACCAAGGAGCCAGGTTCTCCCGAAGGCACGGGTCTCTGCCCCCTCCCTCCTCCCTCTGGAGACCCTGACCACAGGAGCTGCCTGTCACCTGGCCAGCAGGCGGCAGGGGGCCCTCTGGCCTGTGGGGGAGGGGGACTTAAATCATCGGAAATGGGGTTTCTCTTACACCCCCTTTTTTCTACAGAGAGCAGGCGTTATTTTAATTTGCAACATGAAAATAGACCTTTTAATTTTTAAAAAGACCAGAGTAAGGTCTGTTTGGGGAATAACAGCCAGTTTGGCCTGTTGCGAACAGTCTAGAATTGGTTGGTTTGACCCAAAAGGATGAGAGAGGTCTCGTGTGCTGTGACAAGTGCAGGGGAAGTCCATCTGTGTGAATTTACATACGCACGTGTGCGCGCGTCCGGAGGAACGTGAGCCAAACTGTTAGCGATGATCATCTCCAGGAAGAAGGCTCACGGGGCGATTTTGTCCCAAGACGCTTTCAATTTGACACACTTTTATACTGTTGGCGCCTGGCGTGTTCGTTCGGCGCCTGCATGTTTCACGGGAGTAACTGCGCCTGCCCCCGGATCGCGGCACACGTGTCTGCTCCGTCACAGGGAAGCAGGCTGCCCTCTGCCCACGCTTTCCAGTCCCGAGAGAGGATGCTTTTCCTCCCAGACTCGGGGTGACCGGGCTGCTTCGGGAGGCCTGGCTCCCGGGGGATCCTGCCACGTCTCCCTCTGGCCCCAGGGGCACCTGACCGCAGGGAACCTTGGCGCGAAGAAACCACAGCAGTCCGAGACTGCTGTCCGTGAAGCCAGTACGGCTCAATGAAAACGCTGTCACCAAACCCCTCTCTCAGGTGTCGGTGCGCGTGGCAACCAAGTTCAAGAAGCACGCGCACGTCCCTGAAGGGCCTGGACCTGCTTCGAGTGGCCAAGAGCCTTTGTCGGTTTCTGTTGGGCCCCAGGAAAAGGGTTTTCCTGGGGAGAAGGCAGAAACGACTACAGTTGAGCGGTGCTGTCCGCAGAGATCCCGTGACCGGATCTCCTGCCTCGCCGGGACACGGGGAAAGATTCCCCCAGGCCTGGGGTCCCAGGTGTGTGTGGACACGGGCCCCGCGGTCCGCTCCTCCCTGTGCACCTGCAGCCTGCGCCCTCACTCCAGAGGCCGTACGGCACCCGTGTGGAGGTGACCCCCACTCCTGCCTCCACCTGTCTCCCCATCAGACGCTCCTGGAGGTGGCGCGGGTGGGGTGGTCCCTACTTCCGGGCCTCTCGTCTTTACTTACCCACAAAGAAGACGAGGACAAAGCTGGCCAGGGTCAGGGAAGACCCACTGCTGATCATGTTGGTGAGGAACCGGAAGAAAGGGTAGAGCAGCAGGGAGGCCCAGAAGAGCCAGTTGATGAGCGTCCAGGGCCGCCGGGGGGGCACCATGGGGGTCTCTGGGAAGGTGCCCGTCCTGTAGTACTCCTCCTGGAAGGCATCCTGGGAACAGAGAGGCGACCCTGAAGCACTTCCCTCACGCGCGACCCCGGGCTGATGCGGGCCCTTCCCAAGGCTCCGCTTCTGGGGGCGGCTCGTGCCCCCCCCCCCCCGGGGCGGCCGCGCCCCCCCCCCGGGGCGGGGGGGGGGGGGGGGGCCCGCCCCCCCCCCCCCCCCCCCCGCCTCTGGCCAGGTGACCGGCCTCTGAGGCCCAGACTCCCGGTCTGCAAGACGGGCAGTTCTGCCGCCCAGGACGGGCCAGTAGGGAGCGAACTGAGGCGACACACTGATCCTGGCCCTCAGTGGATGCCCGCAAAACGGACCAGAACCCCGGGGCTCAGGAAGACCAGGAGCTCACCCTCTTGCACCTGACCCATGACACCGCTGCACTGTCCTGATTGTCTGGCCCGGGCACCCAGGCCACACGACCATGAAAGGCTGTGGGGGCTGCTCGCGGGAGGCGAGGTGCTCACGGAGGAGGCCGGGCAGGGGAGGGCTCGGTGCCCAGCCCAGGCCGGCCTCCAGTGGCAATGCTCTCTGTGCCTCCTTCCTTTCTCAGGATCCAGCAGCCGTGTGCAGTGGCTGTCAACACAGCCAGATGGCCAGCAGCCTCCTGTCCTGACATTTCAGTAGATTCTCATCTGGTGCCCGACCCGAGACTAAATGCAGGAGTTCCTCCCCCGCCCCTTCTCTGCGGGCTCCAACCCCACCCACCATGGACGCCTGCACCTGCCGAGCCCTACATATGCCGCGTCCTTCCTGTGTGTAGTCCTTGTGCGTAAGAGACAAACAGCAGTAACAAAATAGAGCAGTTCCAACAACGTCGTAACCAAGGCTCCGTGACTGTGGTCTCCCAGTGCCTTCACGCACGTACCCTCCCTTCTAGGGACGGCGTGAGATGATGAGATGCCCACGGGATGTGACGAAGGGAGGAACGGCGTGTGAGCCGCCGGCCTGCTACTGACCGGGTGCTGAATCAGAGGAAGGATCGCCTGCTTCTGCACCGCCACCGACCGTGGGTCACAGACCGTGGGTGAGGGGACGGCCGGTGGTCCAGTGGTCCAGTGTGTGTGTCAGCGGGCCATCACGGGTCTCGGTGGGGGCACGGCAAAGCACAGGGAGCCCCAAAGCCGGCCCTGCGCAGCGAGCTCGCCCAGCTGCTCCCCGGAGCCCCCAGGTGGGAGTGAGTGCCGCAGCGGGACCAGGAGGCGGCCCCGAGGAGTGTGCTGCCAGGAGGGACGGGCACCAGGACACCGATCGGCACTTCGCGGCACCGTGTGAGGATGAGGGCCGGTAGCCGTGGGCAGTTTCCCCATTTCTGAATATCGGCAACAAATTAACATCTCCTAACAACACCCCGGGGGCTGACAACACGCATGCTGCCCCAAACCCATCTCTGGGTCCCGCGAGCCCCGTGTCTCAGCCCAGTAATGTCCCTGTTGTCTAAGGAGGCGAGGGTCCTGGAAAACAAGCCTCCATATGCCTGCGACTTACACCTTAGGTACCAAACTGTTCCCTTCAACAGCTTGAGATAGAAATCTCTAAAATACATCCCACTTCTCTTTTTTCCCAGTCAGGAGGTACTGAGGAATATGCTTTTTGACCACTCAGGGTCATTATTAAAATGAGTCCGCAAACGGGCCTTTCTGGAAGGAGAGCCTCTGACCCCTTCCCTGGGGATTCAGGCGCTCTGCACCGTGGCCCCTTCCCAGGGGCCAAACTTTCCTCCTGCGTCTCTGCGCTTGGGCCAAATAATCAGATAATTCTAGGAGAACCGACCTGTGTGCCGAGTGCTCCCGACGCCCAAGTGACACAGAGCCTGTGGCCACAACAGACCACCTGATGGTGATATGTCCGATGCCCAGAGAGAGGGCACCTAACTCCGTCAAGGCCTCCCATGGTCCCTCCCTGCCATTAACTTGGCTGATGCTTCTCATCTCAGGTTGGGGCCACGGGAGCCCAATAACCAGATAAGGGGTTTGCTGCGGACTGATTGTGCCCCCCCCCCCAGAATCTGCATGTGGAAACCGGATCCCCAGGGCGGTGGTTTCAGGAGGCGGGGCCTTTCGTGAGGATGCAGCCCTCATGACTGGGGGCCCCCCCTTAGCACAGGGGCCCCAGAGAGCCCCTGCACTCCGTCCAGCACGTGAGGACACAACAGCCTGGGCAGGGGGAGGGCGGGGGGTGCTGGCCTGGCCTCTTGAGCTGCAAGAGGCAAAGGTCTGCTGTGTACGAGCCACCTGGTCCCTGTCACTTTGTCATACAAGCCTGATTGGACGAAGACAGGAGGGGATACCTTTGCGCCTTAAAAAAAAACCCCAAACAGCTTTACTGAGGTGTCATTTACATATCATAAAACTCCCTCATTTTAAAAAGTGGAATTGTTTGTTTTTTTTTTTTTTTAATTCTTCTCTTTAATAGTCTTGATGATAACTTTCCTCTTGTGATATTTCTGCAGAGGGCCAGGTGCCACTTTCCCCATCTCTTGCCAGAAAGACACTGGCTAAGCCAACATTTATTTGTGCCTCTAGCAAGAGGAAAAAGCACTGCTTTCTCTAGGGGGTCAGAACGAATTCAACCCAGAGTTTTCTTTGTCTGTGTTTCGTTCAGAAAACTAAGACCCTTCACTGTCCCCACTGACGTGGCTGCTGCAGTAACCCTTGCTGGCCTCCCCGGGGGCGCCACAGTGACTCTGTGACCCGGCAGGGTAGGCCCGAAGCACGTCTGGGGCCAGACGTTAGCTCCAGCAGCATTTACGGCCTCTCTTGGTCACGTCCCTTCTTTTGCAATGAAGTCCGGCCCTACGGGGAGATGGCTTTGGTTCATGACGCTTCCAGTTTTTGTTTCCGTGTGTTAGGATCACGTGGCCCAGGAGAGGCTGGAATTGGGAAATGTGTTTAGTGAAAGGGGAGTTGATCTGTTTCCAGAAAGAGCCATCAGCCCAAAAGCGTAAAGGAGGAGGAGGCCCTCCTGACGCAGGGCAGAGCCCCTGAGCACACACGGTGTGCACACAACCAGAGCCCCGGGAGGCAGGCGCCACAGGCCATGCCGGCCAGAAACAGCCCGGCTGGTTGGGTTTTCCCAACGTTCGGCTCAGCAAACTGAAACGTCTTCGGTGGTGCTGGGGGAGGAAGGAGGGAGGGAAGGGAAGAGGAGAAAAGAACGAGAGGCAGAAAGTAAGCACGTCTGGGCAGGAGGGACATTTTCAGAGGACGCCTTCCCCAGCATCAGCCTGACATGGGGGCGGCACTCTGGCCTGGATTGTGCTGTGGGCAAAGGACGGTACCACGGGGCCAGGCCAGAGACCCTGCCGCCCTTCCAAGGAGCGATGCCCTCAGTGTAAGCGCAGAGGCCCTGGCCAGCTTGGAAAACCCTCAGTTCTTATGCGTGAAGAATTTCCCGCTGGCTTCTGCACCCCACACGGGGAAGCTGCCAACCGTGGCCCCTGTGGCCCCTGCGGCCCCTGCACGCCCACGAGACGGCTCGGATGCCCCTTTCCTTCACCCACTTTTCATCCGGCACCATTAAGGACTAATTCTTCACCCCTGCAGCAGACTTCAGACTGCACGCCAGGGAACTGAGTACTTTAAGTCACAAATGCAAAGTTAGCGGGGTGCCTGGGTGGCTCAGTGGGTTGAGCGTCCGACTTCGGCTCAGGTCACGATCTCGTGGTTTTTGGGTTCGAGCCCCATGTCGGGCTCTGTGCTGAGCGCTCAGAGCCTGGAACCTGCTTCAGATTCTGTCTCCCTCTCTCTCTGCGTAACACCGCCCCCCCCCCGCCACTCACACTCTGTCTCTCTCTCCTCCAAAACTAAATAAACATTAAAAAAATTTTTTTAAAAGAAACGAAAAGTTAGAATTTGTTTAAGCCACATGACAGAGGAACCATCATGGCTCCGGGGAAGGTGATTTGGGAGCTGCTGTTGTCCCCAAAGAGGTCACCTGAGGGCGTGCCTGGTTTCTCAAAGCCCACACCCTGCAGCCGGCAGCAGTCCTGAAGGCTGACAAGTGATCAACATTGTGCATTTCCGAAATGCCAAATTTGTTCCACTTAAAGGATGGCCCGGGCTTCAGAGATGATGCTCTTCCTATTTTAGGGTGTTAAAATGGCAGTCGTAGCTAATGGGTTTCTATCTATCTATCATCTATCTATCCATCTATTTTGAGAGGGAAGGGGGAGACACAGAATCCCAAGCAGGCTCCGTCTGCACCATCGGCCCTGAGCCCGACGCGGGGCTCAAACCCACAAACCATGAGATCATGGCTTGAGCCAAAATCAAGAGTCAGACACTTAACCGACTAAGCCACCCAGGCGTCCCTAGTGGGTTTCCTTTTGTGTCTCTGCTGGAGCAGAAGAAAGTGTCAGCACATCCCTGTGTGGCTGCCACCACCCTGTCCCACACTGACAGCCACTTCACTTGTCTGTGACATCAAAAGCCTGAGAATTACTGCCTTAAAGTCCCAAGCTCAAAGTCAACAGAATTGTCTTTCAACACCATACGTCTGAAAGATGACGATTAAAACAGAGCCCCACTCGGACAAGCGTGGTGGGGCCCCGAGATTACTGGTACGTAAAGAAAGCCCCAGACCCAGCTAGGCTCCTGAGGAAACAGGGCTGACAGAAATGAAAGGATGCCATCGTTCCCTGCCATCCGGTCACATCTGGTCTTGGAGGCACCGCTGACCCTTGCACTTACTGCCCAGCGGTGTTCCCTCCAGGGAGAAGGCCCGCCTCAAAGGTCTGCTCACCGGCAGACACAGCCCTCCATAGAGAGGAAGAACTTGGCCTCGGGAACCCGGCTTTATTAGTGAGCTGCGAAGATGGACAAATGATGTCATTCCCTGGACCTTAATACCCTCATCACTAGCCTAAGAGCTCGGAGCCAGATGATCGTTTCAAGAATCCTCTCCAAACTGAACGCTATCATTTCTAATGCATACGTAGTTTAGGGAAAACCTTCCCGAGAGAGGTCGGCAAGAAGGAAAGGTGCCTCTCCACCAAACACCCAAGTGGCTCGGTTCACACGACGGCCGCGGCTCTCGCGCCCGAACACAGGAGAGAAAGGGCCGAAGGAGAAAAACCTCCTTTGCTTTGGTGAGTTTTGGGTCCTGCGCTTGTTAGATTTGTGTGGTTCTTTACAAAGCGATTCATTTCTTAGGCCTTTGCTTAGCACGTTTTTCTTCTTGCTAATAGCGACATTTTTTTATACTGCCTAAATGACTAAACCAGAAAACCGCACAAGGAAAATGCTGCCTCGTGCATGAAACCAGAGGAAAAGAGTTTGTATTGTTTGTGTGCTTCTGTCGGGCCTGGGCCTGTGGCAGCACGGAAGCGTGATAACTGGGAATCTTGCTAAAAAGCATCTGCAGTGCGTTTCCAAGGGCGTGTCAGAGGTGGCCTTCTAGAAATACACGTTTCCAGGGCTCCTCAGACCCGCTGCATAAATCTCTGAGGCTGAGGAAGATGCATGGCTCACACTCTGTGACAGGTGTTTACTGTTGACTATTTGTAAGAGGAAACTGGATGCCCATCCCTATTACTCGTCCAGAAAAGACACGAAGCAAGTTCCGTGAATGCGCTTTTAAAGGCACCATCGGAAAATCACTTCCTTGGGAACACAGGAGCGACTTCTAGCTAAGACAGTATGAGGATCTTGATCCCCAAAATGGAGCCTCTACTTAATCTGATGGTAGTAACTGGGAAGGCTTTGGGGCCAAAGCACATTGGCAAAGGCAGGATTAAAACTCCTACCCCACTGTAGGGGACAGCCCATAGAGTTCTGGGCAATTATCTCTAGAGGGATGGGGCAGGGGGGGAAGACAGCACATTAAAAAGGCAGGCAGTCTGTATTTATGGAGTTTGGCAACAGGAAATCAGTATCCTGCTTATTGAGCTCGATTCCAGGTAATAAGCTGGTTTGCCCTTAAAACGTACGATGCATCAGAAATAAGTCTTTATGGGCAGTGAGGCTTGGTCATAAGGACGCCTTCCTCATAGGTGGAAGCTAGCCTTTTCTCCTTCATAAGATCAGGCAGTTGGGACAGTGATAATTAGCCTGCCTCTGCCCTGAGCAGGTCTTTGAAGAGAGAAGCCAACGGAAGGTAAGGTCCTGCCCAGAGGAAGCAAAGACGGTGTGTGTGGTGGTGACGGGGACGCGGGGGGAGCTGAGGGGCTGGAACAGACAGGAGGCAGGGGGGCACTGCACCAGATCAGACCAGCAAAGTGGGTCCTCGCAATGCCGATGCTGGTGGTTCTGAGACCACACAGGCAGCCACGCTGCAGGTCTGGAAGCCAGCGGGATCGTATGCGTTACTGAAAGAACATTCCACCCCCGAGTTCCAGACACCGGCTGTTGGGGCCGTCACTTCCTCTTCTGTCCACTACACCCATCATTCTTCCTGTGAAGCCCCTTTGACACATATTTTGCTGTATTCTTGTCCCCACTGTTGAACAGAGCGTCAGCCCCAGGGCGGCTGCTAACTAGGCAGTGGGGTCTCGCCACCGTCAGCTCCCAGAGGCCCCCACGGCGCGCCCACAGCCGCAACTCGAAACGGGGGTCGTTGGGTCCCACAGAAGCACCCGCGGCACTGACCTTCTCCTGGTAGAGTTTGTGGAGCCAGGCTGAACACTCCTCCTCGTCTTCTGGGACTTCTTCTAAAGGAATCCGCCTGCAAAGCAGAGAGCAGCTAGCAGCGGGGAGGCCGACGCCAGATGCCCCCACCACGGTTTCAGAGTAACAGTGCTCCACCTCTCTGGGCTTCTGTTTAGCTAACCTGATCACGTGGCTGTGAGGAGCGCAATTCAATTGATACAGGCCCAGTTGTAATCATAGTCCACGAAGGAGTGGCCAACGGCAGGTTCAGGGACTCAGACACCTGCCTCTCTCCGTCCTCCCTCCCTACCTCATGGAAAGGCTCCCAAGACCGGCTGTTTGCTTCTCCAAGAGAGGGCAGAACTGCCTCGGTTCCCACATGTTAGAATCCAATGTATATGCAGAGAATCTATGTGTAGGTGGTAATCTGCTAATACTTCTGCCAGCGAGGTAATGACTAAATACGGTGGTGAAGTGTCTCCCATCAAATGATTCCTTTGACCTCTTGGACAGGTTAGAGGTGGATCCTGATGTAAGGATTTCGACAAACAGAAGGACCTGTATGTTGGGCAACTCCTGTTCCCTGCAGGATGGGAGAGACAGGGGATCCTGGCCAGGCCCCGGGGCTCTTGGCTCACCAGAGGTGGAGGAGATCCCAGGGTGGCTCTGGGCTGGTGCTGGTATGGGCTGGGGGCTCAGCCACTTGCCAACAGCCCCAGTGAGCAAGGGGGAGTCACTGGACCATGTCTCCTATTGTACATACATTTCTGTGTGTTCCCAGGTTGCTGGCTTTTGTGATGCCCAGCCGTATTTATTCACACCTGATTTTATCCATGTAAAATTCTACATCCCTCATGACTGCCATGGGTGGACTGGGTCCTCTCTCTGGCTTTGGACTATCTTCGCACGAAGATACATCTTTAGAACTTACCCGTCACACTATAGCCCGTTACGAGAACGTGCGATTTCGTCTTGTAACAGAGGCAGTATTGTTCAGGGTGAGAAATCACCCAGTAGGCCCCTACAAATACTCCCACCAATACCCTACTCCTGCGCTCTTACTCGCTCACCCTGGTTTGGAAACCGGATCTCTCAATGTGTTTCTTGAAAAAGATTAGAAAGCCTGCATACTATTTATTCGAATAGTAGGAGTTTAAGGCAATTTTGCTCTTTTCGGTAACTTATTTGACATTCTCCACCTTGCTTTTTGAACACTTTGTATTGCGGTAAAACACAAGAAAGCCTCTCTCATTTTGAGAGGGCCCCTGCACCACGAGGAGTGGCACGGTCTTCCTCGGAGGCCGTGAGGGTGTACCAACTTCTGTGGGCCTGCTGGGTATCGCATTTACAACCGTCATCCCTACATGTGCTCCAGAGAGGTGCAGTTACCCGAGAGGTGGCCTAGTAGAGGTGCAATAATCTTGCATAGTGGGCGAAGTTTCCCCAAATACCAGGGGCCCAGCTGGCCACTGAGTGGCGCTTCTGCTAGGTGATAGAGTTGGGGACAAAGCCTCCTTTACTTCTGGAAGGAGGCCTCCCTTGGGAAGGTTGCGTTTCCTACCCTCGTCTGCCTTAAACTGAGTGATAAGCCAGACTGTTGGCTGTGGCCTTAGAAAACAGTAGTATGATGCTCCCTCCTCTTTGTAAGGGGGAGCCGAAGTCATTTCCAGCTAGAAAGCTATTTAATCCAGGCTGTCAGTCCTGGAAGGTTTGCGCTTTTTCTTGAAGCCTCGTGGTGACGATCAGCCACCGAATTTGCATCCTGTGTTGACTTCAGCATCTGTAAGGTCTTTAAAAAAATAATCAGAATGCTATAGAACACTTGGCTAGCTCTCCAGCAGTGGGCATGTCTGAGCACCTTGGTTCGCCTTCTGGGCAGACCACCTACTGCCTGAGAAACCAGCGTGATCCCTCAACCTGGTCACATGGGGTTTCATGTGGGCGCACCGTTGTGTTTTACCATCTGCAGTGTCTTTCAACTGTTTCCCATTAATCTCGACATTGCAGACGACCAGGGTGAGATCCATTCTGTCAGCTGATAAATGGGCAAAGAGAACTAGCTTGTCTAAAATCTTGTGAGGTGTTTTCAATAAAATCGTAATAGCTTGGAATCTAACACATAAGTAAGATACTGCTAAAATGGTCTCCATTTGTTTCTAGACCTCCTTATAAATTACACACCCTCTTATCTGCGGACATCTGTGTGCAGCAGACACATCCTCCAGGAAAAGGGGTCAATGAAATCATCTCTTCATACTCAATCTCAAAATGACTATAAAATGACTAGGCTTCCGTCTGGCCAGCCTGAGCTCTGTGATGAGTATGAACTGGTCAGAGAGAATCAGAAAGTAGCTGAGAAGAAGCGAGGCCTCCCCTGATTATTCCCATGAGTGGCCTGTGTCTTGAGTTTCTAATACTAATACGGGTAGTGAATGGGTCCGTTTCAGTACAGATTACAGACAAGAAAATATTAAACAGATTTCTCCGGAAAGAGGTTGGCCGGCCATTTGGGATTTATTTACTTTGATGGGCGCTCTCTGTTTTGGAAAGAAAATGGAACCCACTTACCTGACGTATAAATCTGCATGATATTTCTTCCCGTTTAGGACCCCCAACAGTGTTGGATTTTCATTATTTCTGAAATTGAGTGTACAGTCATATACAGCTGAAACTATAAAAAAATAAAACAAATACAAAGCAGTATATAGCGTGTGAACCCATAGATACACACATTGGAAAACAATACTGAAATCTGCTAACTGGGTATCTCAGGATGGTGGGATTACTGGGTTCCTCTTCATGCTTTTCTATATCATCCAAATGCCTTCACTGAACACACATCACTTTCTGTAATCAGACAGCACACTAACTTAGTAGCTGAGAACAGAGTTATAACTGAGGTCAGATCAGTTGAAAGCAATACTGCGATGTCCCTTCTAGACGTACTACAACAAGGACCCATATTTCGACAAATACCAATAATAAGGTCAACGAATCTAACGCATGCTAAGGACGTGTCTTAAGTTGATGGCAGTGTAACCATTTTACCAGCGTTTCTCCCCTAGAAAAATAAGATAGCTACAAAGCTAGAAGTGGATGTGGGGAACCTCTTAAGGAATTGAACTAGAGTCGGCTGAAACATGACAGAGAAACAAAGAAGAATGTGTGGTTTCAATGCGTCTCCCAGGCGGTGAGTTAACCCCGCAGCTTGCTGTCAGAATTCACTGTTGCAGCTTACTGGGGGGAGGCGGGGAGGGATGCAGAATGCCCGAGGGAACAGCGAGGGAACAGCCGTGGAGAGGGAAATACAGAGGGGAGACAGATGCCATTCCTGTGGCGTCAGGACGACAGGACCGGGCAGCAGAAGGAACAGGAGTTGTGGAGTCAGGCTGGTGCCTGCGGGATCTTTTCTCGGACAGGCCACCCGGCCTCCCGGAGCCTAGCTCCCCTGGAGAATGGGACCCACGATGCCCTCCTCCCACACCTGCTGAGCTGGCGAAAGTCACCACTGTCCGCAGGGCTTGGCACACTGTGCCGGGGAGACTGTGCGCCTGATACGGTACCGAGATCCTGGCATGTGTACGGCTACTCTTCATAAAGCGGGCAGGAGGATGACGGGATGTCTTGGTTCTAGTTGGGAATATGAAGAACCAGCATTCAAAACCCGGTCAGAAAAGCACCGTCCATTAGCTTCGACCTGCTGCCTGCCCGCCAGTGGGGTCTGCGTGGGGCGCTGTGGCAGCTGGAGCTGGTCTTTGCTGAGGAGACAGGGGCTCTGGGGCTGGCTCGCAGGAGTGCCCGGGGGGGTGGCCCCCCACCCCCCAGCAACCCAGACCTTTGCCCCATCCTGTCATTCCGGTGGGGAAAGGTGTGGCTCTCCAGGGGCCAGTGAGGCTGGTGGAGGCATGATGGTAACAGGCATTCGGGCCGCACCGGGTGTGGCTGTGGGGTCACCGGGCCTGGGAGCAAGAAGAGCTCGTGTGGCTCATGGAGTTCAGCGGGCTTCAGCCTCCTTCCTTCAGACTGGCTCCCACACACAAGTGGGGTGGCTTTGGTTAATTAAGGACGGGGGAGCGCCAGGGGGTCCCCAGAGGACAGCCTAAAAACTAACGACTTGCACAGTTCTCTTCGCTTCCAGAGGAGTAACCCCAAGAGAAGCGTCTTGAAGGGACACAACGGCCCAGCAGGAAACCCATCTGCCTGCAAAGCCCTTGAGCCCCAGCCTCTGTGGACTAGTGGAGCCATTTGGAATAAGTTCCTTAAATTCTCCGTAAGCCCCAACTTCCCCACCTGGAAACTGGA